AAAACAAAAAAAAAACAAAAAAAAAACAAAAAAAAAAAAGGGACCAAAAGGGCACATTGGGATCATGGAGCAAAAGGGGCAGGTGCTCAAGCCCCCTTAGCCCCCCCCTCTGCACGTGCCTGGTAGACAGTAGTATGCTCGAGGTACTGAGGTAACAGAACTACAGGATTCCATGAAACAGAAAAAGAAATAGATTACAAATTAAGTTCACCACTTAAGGTTATAAGTTTCATAGCTTTATACTTGGTGCATATTTTTAAGGAGTCCAAAAAAACATCTTACATATGCTCTAAAAACATTGAGGTTGGGTTTGTTTTTAGCAAATTTACAAACATGTATATGGAACTTGGCTAATAGAATAAGGAAATCTATGATATATTATTTCCCAGACATACTGCCCTTGGAAATACAAAACAGAATGTTTAACATCCAGCGCAATAAGTATATTGCATTTCCCATTGACAAAATTATTGAAGTCACACCAAAACACTTTGCTAAAAGAGCATTCCCAAAAAAGGTGGGTTAATGTTTCTTGTTCGATGTGACAGAAGGAACAAAGTGGATCAATATTTGGAATATATTTGTTCAGTACTGAATTAACAGGATAACAACTGTGTAAAATTTTAAGGGACACTTCCCGTATTTTATTAGAAACAAAACATTTTCTTGGCAATAACCATGTTTGTTCCCAATTGATATCTGAAAATAGATTGTTCCAAAAAAAGGTTGCGGCAGGTTTGCTAACAGTATTCCTCTGGATTATTTCTCTTATATGGTTATTTTCAGTTTTAATACTAAGGAATTGATCTGAATTCCCAATAAATAATTCTGGTAATCTGGGATGCTGGACCTGGGCGTTACCCGATGTTGATATAAGAAATTTCAAACCTGCAGGAATAGCATCAAAAACGACAGCAAATCCAGGGAAGTTATATTTACCAAGAAATTCACCACAATTAAACAGTTGACCATCTCCAATAAACAATCTTTTTACAAATAGGATATTTTTATCCACCCAGTTCTGAAGAAATAGGGATATATGCTTGAAGCAAATATTTTGGTTATTCCAAATATAACAGTTATGAGGGGAAAAGTTATGTTTATAAACCAAAGTCCAGGATAAAATGAGTTGTTTATGGAAGCAGGACAATTTTTATTTTTATTTTTACAGTGTCCTGTCTGGCAGTGTGGCAATAAGAATAGTTGTCTTGATGCCAAAAAGAGCCCAACAGATTTTACTTTTACACCAAAGTTTAGCAGTATGACAATTGCCATATTACTCCACTTGTTTCATGCATATAAATTCTCTTATTGTAATTATGCAGTGACTTTTACAGTTTATATGGACACTGCAATGTAAATAGAGCAGAAAAACAGAAGAAGAAAAAGGAAAAAAGAAAAAAAACCAGAAAAGATGAAAGAAAGAGGAGATAGAAAGGAGACAATGACAAAACATTTTCAGTCTGCTTCATCACCTGTAACGAGATGAAAAAAGAACAGCACAACCGAAAGACATGGTACGAGACATACAATAAAGCAACACCTTGAAACTATCGTTAAAGTAGTATTACGCACGCCGGGCGGAGCCACTTCACCCTCCACCTGCCCCGCAGCCACACCCACTGCAATCAGAGGAATTAAAGCAGCTCCACCATGCCTCCAAGTGGGAAAATCCACCCGAAAACCCAATCAGCGCAGCCAGCCCATCCACACCAGCCCCCCAACACCACCCCCGCCGGAGCCGCCCAGACCCCCACACACCAGCGGCGCGCCACCAGCAGGACCCCCACCCAACGGGCCCGCCCGTCCCCCGAGAAAACAGACATGCCAATCCCCCTAAAGAAAAAAGGGCCACCCGGGCATCCACCCCCAGACCCCGACCTCCATCAGTGCACCGTCGAGCCCCGACGCCAGCCAGCAGAGGGAGAGCAGGACGAGGGGAATGGGCTCCGCACTTAGCAGAGACTTGAGATGTATTTGGGAGAGGGGGCAGTTCAGACCCCAACCTGGAAGAGAAAAAAAAAAACACTCACGATCTCAATCATGCCTTTCCTCCCTAGTGCCCCCACTCGCATCACAGAACAAAAAAAACGCGGATACACATTTACACATAACACTCACATCCAATAATACCAGGACCAAAGACCCGGCGGCACCGGTGGTTGGTCCCGAGATTATCGGATGACCCAATAAGTAAACCTAAAATCCAGATGGGGGAGAGGAGCTGCGACACCGCCACACCAACCCTTCTCATTCCTGCTTTGAGCCCTGCCCCGCACCCCGCACACGGACTGGGCCTCCCCGAGCAAGAGCTCCCCCGGGACCGGGGCCCACCCATCCAGAACCCCCCCAAAAAAACTAGTTCAACCAGCCACTACATGCCCCTCCTTCCAGCCTTCTTTGGGGAGAGCAGAAGTGACAGCCCCGCCACCAGCAGGCCACCTAGGCCCCGCAGCCACCCCCAGCCAAAACCACGGACCAAGTGGCCCACTCTTCCTCCAGGCCCCAGACTTTATATGGCAGCCGGGGAACAGGGGTGTGAGAAGACCCCGATCCTCCCTGTGCCTGCTCAGATGTGGTGTTGTTGCGTGTTGTTCTCAGATGTAATTAAAACTGGGAGTACCAAGAGGGGGTGTCCGGCACAGTCCACCCCCCTTCTGGTAGATAGGCAGTGCCAGTGCACCCCCCCATTCGACAACCCTGAACCCTCAATGTCTAGATGCGAGAGGGGACGGAGGAAGCCGACCGTGGTGAGGCCCATAAAATAAGCCCCCCCCATGGCTGGCCTTGACCCCCACCCCCCAGAAAATACCCTACATAGATGTGTGTTGTGAAAATGTTGTAGATGGAAGTGTCTAAAATGCAAAATAAAATTGGGGTGGGGGACATCATCAGAAGGTGGGGCCCTCCAGTAACGACCCCCTCCCCAAAAACCTACATGTGTGGCAGTGTGATGGAGCAGGCAGAGGGAGGATTTCGGGGATGGGGAGCAAAGGACTGGGGTTCTTACTGCTATCCCAGGGAGCCACCTCCCCCGCTGACTCCAATAGGCACCGCCGTTCCCCGAGAGCCCCTCCGGAGAGGGGGGCCCCACCAGTCTCACCACCGTAGCCACCTCACCCTGTACCCACCAGCCAGCCGGGCACAGGGCAGACACTACCATCCTCCCCCCATACTGTCCATCAACAAAAAAAAAAAAAATTATAATAATAATTAAAATAAATCAATGAATGAATAAAAAAAGGGGGGGGCAACCCCTGCCGGCCAGCCCACGTGCAACAAGCAGAGCCCCCATCCCGGACGAAGACCCACCAGGGGACGGCACGGACCAGGACTGAGAAAGGGAGCCAGACCCGAAGCCCTTCTGAAATTCGCTTCCCTCTATCACCACCCTCTGCCCCCCCTCCAGAGATCTAATCACTCCCCTACATTAACATTCAACCTACTCACCACACAAGCGACAAAGGACATCCAGGCCGAGATCATTCCCACTCCCCCTCCCTCCCCTTCCCCCACTAGCAGAGTGCACACCCCTGAAGGGGTAAGCATCTGCCATAGGTGTTAATTTCCATGCCCCCCCAGCCCAACAGAACCCGAGTCACCCCAGCACACCAGAGGCCGCGGCAGGGGCGGAAAGCTGGGCGTACACTGGCCCAGACCCCAAGCAGTACTCCCCACAAAACCCAAAGCCCCACCCGGGCCCCCGTCCGAGGGCAATGTGCCCCAGGGATCCCAGACCCACCCAGCAGTAGGGCCAGGCACTGCTCAAAAACCCCCAGCTCCGGCACCGACACCCCCACCCCACAACCGGCCCCTGAACGACACCCGCCCTGACACCAGTCCTACAACATCAATACGAGGAAAAAGAAAACCACACAACACAACAAAGCACAAATCCTGAGCCCCATTCCAAGCTCCGATTCCTCCACTCACACCCCCCCTCCCACACAAAAAACCCCCCTCAGTGAAGAAGAACACTTGCAAACAAGTCAGTGTCCAACACCCACCGCCACACCACGAGGACTCCTCCACCCAGCTGTTCCTCCCCAGAAAAATCAAAATTTCTGCCCTCCCAGGAGACAAACAAGCCCGCCGAACGGGAACCCCACCGACAGCGCACCGCCGGCACGCGAGGGCCCGAGCGGCCCCGACAGATACAACACCTGAAGGCCGATATGGACGATCCGACGGCACCAACCAAGCCCCCAGGCAGATTCTCCCACCCAAAAACACAACAAAACCACTCTACACTGAAATAAGCACTGATTAAATTATATAAATGTACTTTATCAAGCATATAGGTTACAGTACAATGTGAATGTTTACTCTGATATATCACTGAACCATGAAAAAAAAAGCTGGTAATCAATAAAGCTTTAGCCAATACAAACTGTTGTAACATTCGGTATGACATTATTTCCACAAAATTGCATTTACAAATGGTTTTAAGCTTGAACACAATTAACTATGTGAAACAACTAAAAACTTTGACTACGGGAAACGGATTCATTAGAACATATTGCAAGTGCTGGGATCAAATTTTCCCTCTTTCTTCTTCCCCTTTCTTCCCTTCTTCCCCTTCCCTTACACAGCCTACTTTCTCCGGTTTAGGCGTAATAGGCAGAATGAACTATCATAATCTGAAAGTTGTGAGTTCAATCCTCACTTGTGGCATGTATTTTAGCTTTTCCACTCGCAGTATTTAATGAGTTGCTCCACTGTAGTTTCTGTGATGGAACTTCATTCGAACCCTCCCTCAGTGATGATAATGCAGATAATGCTTCTCGCTACAGATCATAAGAGTCTACGTTCGAATCCAGCCTAACAAGTATTTTTTCTTTTTTTTAATCTTGTATATCTCTGCACTTATTCGGAATCAGCTGATCAATCGACCTCCCAAACTCTTAAAGCAAATGTGTTTTGGTTTAAAAAGGCCTAAAAACTTCCTCTTTGATAAACCTTATAGTTAGAGTGTGTCATGTTATCCTGAGCTGGCTAAATTGTAAAGTGCCTTGAGATGACATGTTGTGAAATGGCGCTATATAGATAAACTGATTTGAATTTAATTTAATTGGTATCATGTCTTCCTTGTTCGATATCCAACAGATAAGGGTGAAGAAGAGGTACAAAAATCTCTTCACTGGTAATGTTTTTTAGTAAGCTTATACACATTACTGAAACTACAAATAGGTTCCACAATGTTAAGGTAGGTCCACCGTGAGTCAAGTGGTATGATGGTGAATGTATACAGAGACTTATTTGTTTTCAGGGTTATCCTAATCTTTTGATGTGGGGACTTTGTAATGTTCAATGTTAAAAAAAACTATTTCTCTTTTAATGCTGTCCTGATGCAAATGTTAGGTCTGGCATAAATTAAGCTTAAGTTTAAATATTGTATCCATTCACCAGTGTTAATGTTCCTGAAGAGAGTTGGGGTGTCATTGGTCATTAAAATGTTGTCCATTGTTGTCAATTGAGTTGTCATAATAGTTTTCTCCAGTGCTCTGCTCCCTCTATGCATGTGGTCTGCAGATTCACTTTAATGATTTTTTCATCATATTATATCAAGATTGTAACATTTTTACCAAAGGTATTTGGTAAGCTTATCAAAGGATGGGAGAGTATATTCATTACCGAAACTACACCCACAATTTTGAGGTAGCTCCAGTGTGAGTCAAATGAGTCAAATGAATATGATGGTGAATGTCTACAGACTTAGTTTTCAGGATATGCACTATTGTGACTCTTCAAATCGTAGAAAACGTTTGCCTTTTATAAAGGCTTCTGTGGAGGGGAACAACAAGAGTTATCATAATTTTTGATACCACACTGAGATGTGGGATGTTTTTGATATATTTTATATTAAAAAGACAGTAAGTAGTAATGGAGAGATGGGGCCTCATGAGGTATTGAACAATGTGGGCTAATTGCTTCAACAAACCGCACATTTCTTGAAGTTTCTTCTGAACAAGTCCACCTACTGGTGGAGAGGCAACTATAGTTAGAATAGAAAATCCCTTTATCGTCTCACAATGAGGAACTTCTGGTGCTTACAGCAGAAGAAAAATGTGGACCTTAGAAAAGTATATAATAACAACATAAAAGTGAATAGTTAAAAAAATTAATGAATAAGAAAATAAAATTGCTCTACTGTAAAGTGTTTTAACAATAAAAATATTGTGCACCCAGAGAATAAATAATCAATATACAGCTATGTACATTTTTACAGTAATGGATATTTGAAAATAGCACGGTCATTTGGGCTGCAGATAAATTCTCCTTTTAATATTAGACATTACAAAGACTGTATCTCTTGGTTAATTAGCAATATAATATATATAAATATAATATATAACCTGTGATTTTATTGCAACTGCTTTTCTTGTTTGTTTTTTTTTTTGTTTCTTTAAAACTGATCATGCTTGGTATGAATGATAAATCTTTCGAAAGGTTGCTCTGTGTTTAAACTTAGAAGAGGACAATCTTTGTACACTGTTTTTCTATCATTTTAGTGACATAGGCTCCAGCAAAAGGTGAAAGGTGTTATTTATATTTATATATTATTTTAGCAAAAATAATACTTTTTTCATAGTTTCTGGTTTATATCTGGTGGGAAGTTAGGTGTCAAACCAAGCTTTTGGCTAAAACAACCAATTTAATTTGTTAGTGTTTTTACTCAATCTAGATTTGTAAAAGGGCAAACCAATACATATTGGTCACAATACTGATTAAGAAGTATAGTAACTTTAAAAAGCCAAGGTGGGGGTATTGAACCAACAACCTTCGCTTTTAAATTTATCAGTGATACCTTAACAAGTGAGGCCGGTATATTAAGGCAGAGAAACAGTTAAAAATGACTTGGAGATAATTAGTGGCAGCTTCTGGAGCTGACCATGGTGCTGACTGGTGGCTGGGAGTGACCTTAGGACTTGCAGCATGATGTGTGAGTAATTAATAAGGAGACAGTTGGAGCCTAAGTAGTGGCGGGTAAGTGGTTTTAGTATATAAGGGGGTGAAACCAAAGGGGGTTCCCTCCCTTCTTCGGGTGGTTTGTATGATTTGTTCATTATTAGTTGTTCTGTTATACTTAATTGGAATCAATTTTGTTTAACTTTAAAATACTTTCTTCTTTTTTGCATTACATCGAGATTACTCACTATTTAGAGTAGAACAACAAATTGGTTGGAAAATAACCAATCTATTTAGAGAATATATATATATATATATATATATATATATATATATATATATATATATATATATATATATATATATATATATATATATATANATATATATATATATATATATATATATATGTAATCGCAACGTTATATTTAATTTCATGGCATGTACTACACAAACTGCTGCCAGTTTGTGTAGTACATGTCTAATAGAACACCCAACGCAAAACAATGCTCCTGCATTATGTTTTAAGCAAAACAGAACACTCCCACTCTATGTTCTATTTCATTTCATGGCTGTCTTTGGGATGCAAAGTGAACTTGTAAATCACTGCAGCCATTTAGTGTAATAATTGTCTTCTTTGAATATATTGCACCTTTGTTTTTAGATATGTGTGATGATTTAAAAAGTGATTTTTTTAACAGCAGCAGCAAACTCGTAGGTGATTCTCTAAGATGCTTAGGTGGTTTGCCTTTGTCATTTGGAGGGATGAAGCATTCACATCCTTTTTTTGTACTTGTAAATTGATGTGTACCATCTTTTACGCTGCTCCTGTAATAATCTTGGTGCTGATGACTAGCTTATTTACTCATTCCATTTACAAGTCTAACACTGCATGGTTGGCTCCTGCCTCTATTTAAGGTGCCTGCATCCAGTCTTCAAGGCGAGATTAGTCTTGTTCTCTTGTGTCAGTGGTGAGAGTGTTTTTAGCATTACCCTGGTGTTTCTGATTGCTTGATCCTGACCTGTTCTGCAGCTCAACCACTGAGCCTGCCTGCTCATGTTTCGATCTGTTTGCCTGACCTGACTTTGAACTAGTGTTGCGCCGATGCCATTTTTTGGCCCTGATACCGATACCTGGCTGTGCAGTATCGGCCGATACCATAATAATGTTAAATAATTGCCATCATGGCTTTGTCAAGCTGCTGCCTACCTTTGTGAAGCAGATAAAAATCTAATACAAAGTGAATCCAGTAGAACTTTTTAATAAAAAGTTCTACTGGATAATAAAAATAAAAAGTTTTTATTGCCTACCAGGAGTGGGTGACAATAGTTGAATAAACTTATGGCTCTCAAAATGGTATCTTTGCCCTATTTTTTGGTACTCGCCGATACCGATACCACCATTTTAGGGCAGTATCGGGGCCCCGTCCAATACTGGTATCGGTATCGGTGCAACACTACTTCGAACTCCTGCACCTCTGAGCCTGCCTGTTCTTTTTCTGATCTGTTTGCCTGACCTGAATTTGGACTCCTGCATGTTCTCCGGGACTGCAGCATCTAGCACACTATGGGACACATCTTGTTGTCAGCCTACTGGCTGTATCCTACCTCCTTCTCTGGGCATGGAAGGAGGTGAATTTGTAAACCAGAGATTCCAGCCTCAAACACCCGAGCGACTGGTAAGCTTTCCATTTACAGAAACTTCAGTACTACATTGAATAATGTACATAAAGCTTGTGTACTGTTTTTAAAAGGCTATGGCTCACACTGTCAAATGTGACAGGGACTGTCGCCACACAATATCAAAAGAATCAGCAGTCCAAAAGGCAGATGGAGACAGCACTTTTTCCAGGACCTGTTTTGGCTACAGGGCTTGGGTGACTGCATACATCGAGGCTAACACTTTATTCTGCTTTCGCTACCTCCTTTTTCAAACGTCAGGATTTGACCCAGCATGGTAGGGCTGATTTAAAGCACATAGAAAGGGCAAAGAAGAATTAACAATCTGGGATTTACATAATATAATATAGTGTACTTTTTTTTATATGTTTGTTAATATGCATACCTGGTCTTAAAAAAACACATCCTCAGAAAATGAATAGTTTTTATATATAAAAAAAAAAACGAAGCTGACAAATAGCTTCTCCATTATTAAACTGGTGCAGTTTTTTTTGTTTATTTTATTGTTTTTAGGCTTCTGACACCATATTGGACCATGCAAAACACAGCTGTCACAAAGCCTCAGAAGGTTAAAATGT